CCCCTCTCCGCTTCTTTGTCCTTGTCTCTTCTCCCGCCGGAATAGTCGCCCCCGACGTGGCGGTGCCGGACTTCATCCGCTCTGATTCAACCGGCGGGTCCCCCGTCGGGTCGCCGATCGGCTCGGGCGCCATGTCGCCGAGCCACCCGGCGCCCCCGCGCCCGGAGTTGGGTCTCATCTCCGAGGATCTGGTCCTCTTCCCGTACCCCCTGCTCTCGCACCAGCAGCCTACCGCCTCGCTTTCCGGGAGCATGGTAGTCGGTGGGAGCCGGCACTCTCCGGGCCTACCGGCCGTCCTTGGCTCCCCCTCGGGAGTGGGCAGCTCGCCGGGCACGGTTCCGGCACCAACCGCAGCGGCCACTGCAGCGGCGGCGGCGGCAGCGGCGGCGGCCGCCGCGGCCGCCGCGGCCGCGGCCACCGCCTCTTCTCCCTCCCCAGGGCCAGGTATTGGGGATGTTGACTCGTCGACTGTCAGCAGTGGCCCGCATTCGCCAGCCGACGGGACGGGTCATTCGTCCACTCTGGCAGCTGGACGAGCACTGCTATCCCCACTCGACCGGATTCTTGGGGGCGGAGATCGGAAGAGCGTCGTGGCCACCGCCTCTTCTCCCTCCCCCGGGCCAGGTATTGGGGATGTTGACTCGTCGACTGTCAGCAGTGGCCCGCATTCGCCAGCCGACGGGACGGGTCATTCGTCCACTCTGGCAGCTGGACGAGCACTGCTATCCCCACTCGACCGGATTCTTGGGGGCGGTCTGTCTCCGCGGAACTTTGGCCTGTTCTTCTCGGAGCATCCTTCCCTGCTGGGCAGCACCGGTGGCGGCGGGGGGCTGGGGGGCGGCACATGTGGCCCTCCTCCTGCGGCCGATGTTCGGCCAACTTAACCTGTACTTTTAGATTTACTTCCCCGTTGTTTCTCCGTCTCTCCCCCCTTTGCTCTCCCGATCACACTGGGTCCCTTCTTCTTCTTCTTCTTCTTCTTCTTCTCCTCCTCCTCCTGATCTTCTCCCTGATCATTGTTCTCGGGAGCTCTCTCTCGGAGCATTTGCCCCCCTCCCCTCCCTCCTCCTTCTCCCCAATGGGACGAGACGCAGGCCACATGTGTCCTCTTCTCTCTCTCTCTCTCTCTCTCTCTCCCCCCCCTTCCTGGCGACATCAGGTGTCGCCAATAATAGATCTTGTTCCAGCCCATCTGTCTGCGGCATTTGCCTGCACCGGAAAGGTGGCCTTCGTTAGGGGGGCAGGCGGTCGCAAGGCACTGGGGAGATGGGTCGGAGGGAAATGGGCGTTGTCTAGTATCAGCCACTCGGTGACCCGGAGGACCCGGCAGCCGCTGAGCCACCTATCCGAAGAGAGGGATGATTGGGATTGCTTGCGGCCTCGCGGATCATCCGCTCGCGGATGGTCGAGTAGGAGGTATAAAAGTGCCGCGGGCTGAAGGGGCGCGGGTCGCCGTCCCCAGCATGGCCATCGGGGCCACCGGTCCCGGGGCTGGAGTCGGTGGAGTCAGCCTCGGCAGCGGTCAACAGCATGGCCAACGGGTCATAGCGCATGGGGGTGCCACGCCAGCGCTCGGGAATGGGCCCCCGATCAGGCCAGGTGGCACTGGGCCGGTCTACATGGCAGGAGGGGAATTGCACGATGCGGCGGATGCGAGAAACGGGCAGGCGCCCGGGATGGACTGGGCCCTGGCGAAAGTCGGCCAATGGCACGGACACCAAAGACCCGTCGGCGACAAGATGCCGGCTCAGGTCTGCCTCGGGCTGGGGAACCAGCCACCGAAATCGGAAGTGTGCACATGGATGGTGTGGATAGGTGTCCTCCTGGCTGTAGCTCAAGTGTTCCGGAGCAGGGACACATGAGGGCCCGGGGCGGCCGGTTAGGCCTCGAAGGCAGGGCTCGACCGTCAGCACTCGGGCCAAATATTCATCGGGCTTGCCAATGCCAAAGTCCATGTCGGAATCCCCGGTCGCCGGGGGATAGGCCAAAAGAGTGACAATGGCCCCACGTTCTAGGGAGTGGCCGCGCCAGAAGCACAGGCCAGAAGGGCCATCCTGGCAGGAATAGCGAGGAGCCTGCGAGAATGTGTCAGAGGGAGGGCAGTGCAGGATGGGGTGGGGGTGCGAGAGCATTGTAGGACATTTGCGTGCGCGCGGGTGTGTGTATGTATGTATGTATGTATGTATGTGTGTGTGTGTGTGTGTGTGTGTGTGTGTGTGTGTGTGTGTGTAGGTAGAGGGGGGGGGACAGAAAAGGTCCAAGGGGGCGTGCCTGGGAGGAAACTGAGGTTGTAACTGGCCGTCCAGAGGGAAGCAGACCACGAGCGCGACGCGCCAGGACATCTAGGATGTCAGAGCCACACGCGCGTGCTCGAGCCTCGGCCAGATGATCGGCCGGGGGGACAACAAAGGTCCCTGCTGATGGGTGTTTGGAAACGGCAGCGACAGCAGCAGGAGAAGGAGCAGCAGGAGCAGCAGCAGCGGCTCCCGAGGTGGGGGCAGCCGTTGTGCCGGTGGAGGCACCGCCAGCGGAGGAGGCGACATTGGCAGCAGGGGCAGAGGTATTGGCACGCCCAGGACGCGCCCGAGACCCGCGGGCTGACCCGGCACGGGTGGAAGCCGGCGCGCCGGTGGGCCCGTTGGAGCCGGCCGGTCTCTCATCGGTGTCCGGCATGGGGGCAGAGCGACGCGGGGCAGCCATCGAGGCCACTGGCCCCGCTTGAGAAGCCGAACGTTCGGCCTCCGGATGGGTGCTGGTGCTGGTGGTCGTGACGGCCGCGCGCGATTGGATGCGCTCGAGGATCAGGGCATTCTTGCGGACAATGCGGCGCCGGCGCTCGAGCTCGCGCTTGCGCTTCTTGCGAAGGAGGATCAGCTCCTGCTGCTCGGCCGGGGTGAGATCCTTCATGCGGACATTCGGCAAGTCCGAGACGATGACCGAATCCGGGGACAGGAGCTCCAGCGAGTCGGGCGAATCCTCCCGCGGAGAGGCCGGCGAAGGGGGAGACGGCGCCCGGGCCGCAGGGGGGGCCGGGGGAGGAGGGGGTGGCGCCGGTTGCGCTGACGCCTGGGTGGAGGACCGGGTCCTCTTCCGCGGCGGAGGGGCTGACATATGCACGGGGGCAGGCGAGCGATTCCCTTCTCTGAGTGGGTAGGGCCGGGGGCGGAGGGAGGAATGGAGCACGGACAGGGGCGCGAGGAGAAAGCACGGGGGGAGGGGAAGGAGAGATGGGTACCGCGGTGCCCAGTGGTGGGCGACTGTGGCGGGGCCGCGGTTTTCTACCGACCCAATCGTGGCGGCCCCGCGGCCGTGGCTGCCCTCTGGTGCCGTGCCCGGCCCATCCGCGCCGCGGCCGAGGAGCGGTGAGCCTGTGGGAGGCCAGGAGGTGAAGGGGTCCGCCGCCGTCCCGGGCTGCCGCACCATCGAGCCCACTGGCGCCGGTCCCCCTGCCTGCTCCATCTGCGGCCGGGGCTCGGCGTTCTGCAGGGGCGTTATTGGCGATCGCGAGCTGGAGATCAGGCATCACGTGCAAGTCACGCACCGGCCCGGGCCCGGGTCCTTCGGCGTTGGGTTCCCCCCCTCTCGCCCCCCCCGCCCGCGCTCGCCCGCCGCCCCCAGTGGCCTCTTTGGTGAGTGCGGGCAACTTGGCCCGCAGCCCGAGGAAGGGGGGGGGGGGGGAGTCTTCTGTCCGGGCGGTGTCCCGCTATTTCCCGGTTGTCGGAGGTGGCTCCGTAGAAGCAGGCCGCCGGGCCCCGAGAAAACTAAAAACCCGGGGCCCAAGGCCCTGCCCGAGGACCCGGGAGGGCGAAGAGCAGGCAACTGCCCGCGGGCGCGTCTGGGACTGTGCGGCTTCCGGGTCCCCCCCGGCGCTTTTCTCGTCCTGTGTTTCCCTCGGCGGGCTGGCGGCTAGTCGGTGGGCGTCGACACTTGGTTCGATTGGCAGGTAAATGGGGGGCAGGGCGGGAGTCGGGCCTGGGCCGGCAGCGAGCAAGGGGCGGGGCGGGGCGGGGCTGCGGACGAGAGGGGCATTCCCCAGCCCCGGGGTTCGCAAGCTCCCCCGAGAGAGGGCAGATTTCCTGTTGTCATCGGCAGACTTCGCCGGCATTCCGCTTGCTCGCCCCTTGGGCGTCGGGCCTCGACGCGGTCCCCGGAGGGGTGATGCGCGCCGGGGGGAGGAGGCCGGGGAAAGCCTTTTTCGCCCACCGGACCGCCGTCCTCGCCCTGTTCCAGGCGGCTGAACCATACCCTCCCCTCCTCCCCCTTGGATTTCCTCCCCCGCCCCCCGCCCTTTTCCTTCCTCCTTTCCCTCCCTCCCCCGCGCCCCCCCCCCCCCTGGTTCTGGGTACGTGGCTCACATGCCTTCCGAGTGGTCCTTTGCACTTGTCTCTCCGCTCCCTGCCCTCCCCGGCTTTCTGCCGCGGCAGGCTGCCCAGGGGCACGGACAGCCTGCCTTTTCCTCGGGCCCCCCTTGTGGCTCCGTCCCGCACCATTGGGTCGCCTTGCTCACCTCTCTCTCTCTCTTTGCCCTTCTTCTCCTCCCCCCCGCCACAGTATCCCTCTGCCGGTGGCCACCGCCTCCCGCCCCCCGACTCGCCGCGAGAGATGTCTACTACCCTGCGCGGCCTAAACATCTACATCACCGACATCCGGGCCTGCCGGTCTCGAGAGGAGGAGGAGCGTCGTGTCAACCGCGAGCTCGTCAACATCCGCAACAAGTTCAAGGGTCCGTATGCTGTTTGTGGAGGGCTTTTTTTCCCCCTCCCTCCAATCCCCCCCAGGCACTCGCCCCGGTGCACACCTCCACACCAATCCTGATCCTCCCTTTTGCTCTTCAATGTAGATGCCTCCAAGATGTCCTCCTACGACCGGAAGAAGTATGCTCTGAAGCTGCTGTACACCTACATCCTCGGCTGGGACGTCGACTTTGGCCATATGGAATGCATGCAGCTGATCACCAGCAACAAGTTCCAGGAGAAGCAAATTGTGCGCCCCCCCCCCTCCCCCCCTGCAAATGACTGGCCAAATCTGACGGCCCGTTCGCTGCTTTGATGTCGCTCCCGGCGCAGGGCTACCTGGCTGTGACGTTGCTCCTGTCGGAGAAGAGCGAGCTCGTGCACATGGTGGTCAACTCCATCCGCAACGACTTGACCTCGTCCAATGAAACATATGTCTGCCTGGCACTGGCGGCCGTGTCCAACGTCGGCGGCCTGGAAATGGCCGAGGCCCTGCACAAGGACGTCTTTGCTTTGTTGGTGGCGCAGTGCGTGAAAAAACAAACAAACAAACAACAGTGCCGGGCCCATTCGATCCATCCGCCCTCTGCTGACCCTTTCCCCTGTGTGTGTGTGCTGGATCATTTGGATGGCGCCGATCAACAGGAACACCCGGCTCTCGGTGCGCAAGCGCGCGGCCATCTGCCTGCTGCGGCTGTACAACAAGAACAAGGACGTCATGGCGGCCGCCGAGTGGGCCCCCCAGCTGGGGGAACTCCTGTCCATCCGGTTCCTGCTCCTGTCCAATGCCCTGCTGAGTCTGCTCCTGTGTCTGGCCCAGGACCACCCGGTGGAGTATCAGTCGGTCATGATTCGGGTGGTGGAGATCCTGGGGCATCTGTTGCCGACGGCGGCGCGCAAGGCCGCCCAGAAGGCCTCCTCCGCGGCCCTGGACACGGAGTACTACCGCGTGCCGAACCCCTGGCTGCAGGTGAAGTGCTTGCGCATGCTGCAGCTGGCACGCGCGCCCCTGCCGGAGGCTCAGCTGGCCGAGGTGGAGCGCATGATTGGGGACATCCTGCAGCGGGGCCAGTTTGCGCTGGCGCATTCGAAGAGCGCCAACCAGCTGAACGCCTCGCAGGCATGTGTCCTGGAAGCCATCAACTTGACGCTGCACTTCAACTTCGGCGGCGAGCTGCTCCACCGATCGGTGGCGCATCTCGGGTCGCTCATCGGCCAGAGCCAGCCCAACATGAAGTACCTCGGTCTGGAGGGCATGGCCAATGTGGCCCTCGTGTTGGATGACCTGTCCATGGTGGAGCCCTTTACCCGGGCCATTACATCGGCCCTGCGCGATCGGGATATCACCATCCGTCGTTGCGCGCTGGATCTGTTGTACTTCATGTGCAACGACACCACCAGCCGGACGATTGTGCCGGAGTGCGTGTCTCCTGCCTGGCTCATTTCCCCCCCCACTCCCACGAGTGTACTTCCTGCCAATGCCCCGGCCTACGGCCCTGCTTATTGACCTGTCGCCACTTCCTCGCTCGTACTTCCCCTCCCCCGCCGTTGTCTCCTCACTCCGGATCCCGATCCAGTCTGCTGGAATACCTCAACATCGCCGATTATGCCCTCCGCGAGGAGCTCGTGCTGAAGATTGCCATCTTGGCGGAGCGTTTCGCCGCCGACCACTCGTGGTACGTGGATGTCATCCTGCAGCTCATTCAGTATGCCGGCGACCATGTGTCCGAGTCCATCTGGCACCGGGTGGTGCAGATTGTGTCCACCGAGCCGGACTTCCAGCCGGAGGCCACCTACAAGGTCCTGCAGGTTCGTTTGTCTCTTGGATTTCCTCCCCTCTCCCTCGGGGGTTTGTCTGGTCCCTTTGCTTCTTGGTGTTCTTCTTCCTTTTTTTTTCCCCCTTTCGGGCCCTTCTTCCGGGCACCCGCGCCGCGCATCTCCCCTCCATCCTTCCCTTACCTCTCTTTCCTTCGCCGCCGCCGCCGCCGGATGCTGACTCCACTTTGGACAGTCCCTCAACAAGCCCAGCTGGCATGAGACCACCGTCAAGATCGGTGGCTACCTGCTTGGTGAGTACGGTGAGCTGATTGCCTCGCGGCCTGACGCCCATCCGCAAATCCAGTTCAACTCGCTGCAGTCAAAGTTCGGTGCCTGTTCCACCAGCACCAAGGCCCTGCTGCTTAGCTCGTATGTGAAGATGGCCAGCATCTTCCCCGAGCTCCAGCCGGATATCACGGCCATCTTCGAGTACCATGCCGACGCGCTGGACATGGAGCTGCAGCAGCGCTCGGTCGAGTATCTGGAGCTGGTGCGCCGCGCGGCCCAGGGGGATCCGGCATACCAGGAGCTGTTGGAGATCATGTGCGAGCCGATGCCCGCTTGGGATCTGTCCAAATTGAATGAGAGTGACCCGTCCGGGCGCCGGGAGTCCACCCTGCTGGACTCGGATGCCGGGTTCGGAGCCGGCGGCCTGGCCTCGCCGGCGGGCACTGGGATGCTCAGCAGCCCGGTGTCGGCGACCACCATCGCCCAGCGCCGGTCGACCATCCGTCGGACCACCTTGTCGGGGACGATCGCCGCGGCGCTGAATGCCACGACCGGCGGGTCACCGGCGTCGCCGATGCTCCCGACTCCGGTGCCCCTGGCTGGGCATGGGTCCGGGTCGCCGGTTGTGCCGGCCGCAGCCGGGCCGGCTGGCTCGTCGCCCGGGCCGGCTGCCACCGGCGGCGCAGCCACCTCCAGCCATCGTCAGTCGCCGGTGGTGGATCTTCTGGATTTGGACTTTGGCCAGTCCTCGGCCCTGGGCACCGGGCCCGGGGCCATCCAGTTGTCGGCTCCGCCGGCCGGGACCGGGGTGGCTGCCACCGCGGCCACTGTGGCCCAGGTGGGCTTCTCGGAGTTCGGGCAGCTGGGACAGCCGACGGCAGCGGCCGAGTCGGCCTTCGGCCGTCTGCTTGGCCAGCAGCAGGGCGTCCTCTTTGAGGATGACCTGCTGCGCGTGGGCCTGAAGGTGGAGTTCCATGGCAGTCGCGGCCGGCTGCGGCTGTTCTTCGCCAATCAGCAGGCTTCCCCCGGGGCCGGGAGGGGCCCGGCCTCGGCGCTGGCCATCCGGGCTCTTGTTGAGCCGGATTTCCTGGTTCAGTCCATCGGAACATCGGTGTCCAGCCGGGGCCTGAGTGTGGAAGTGCACCAGCCCCTGCCGGGGGTGGTGGAGCAGCAGGACCAGCTGGTGCTTCTGTGCCAGTGTGAGCGGCCGGACTTTGCCACGGCGCCGACCCTGCTGCTGGCGTATGCCCCGTGCGCGGTGGCCGGTGGCGCGGCGGCCCCGCTGCTGGCGCCCATGCGCCGGGTGCTGCTGCGCCTGCCGATCGGGCTGACTTGCTTCCCCTCGCCGCTGCCGGCCAACTCCATGAGCTCGGAGGTTTTCTGGGGCCGGTGGGCCAGCCTGCTGGCGGCCGGCACGGCCAACGAGGCCACTGCCAGCTTCTCCGTCGGGCAGGGTCTGACGCCCGAGGCTTTGCGCGCGCTCATCGGCCAGATGGGCTTCTCCCTCATGGCCGGTGTGGAGCAGGCGGCCGACAACACGGCCGCGGCCATCATCGTGTCCTTTGCGCAGACGGCCCCGGGAAGCCCGGCCGCCACGCCGATGTCCACGGGCGGAGCCGCAGCCGGGGTTGGTGCCAAGGTGGGTGTCCTCCTCCGGGTGGAGTTCAACCGCCTTGGCCACAGCGTGGCCTTGCATGTCCGCTCGCCGAACCCCCTTGTGTCGCGGACGGTCATGGGCCTGCTTCAGCGGCGCATTCTCTCTTCCTAATGCAATGGCGCCGCTCTGGGAGAGCCGCAAAGGGGAGCTGCGACGGGAAGGCCGTCCTGCCTTGCTGGTGCCGGTGCCGGTGCTGTCAGCCTGTCACAGAGCCGGCGCCGCGGCGCCGGCCGCGACCACACCGTATCCCGACCACCACCACCATCGCGACAGTCTCCCGGCTCTCGAGTTCCCTCTGGGTGCGGGACGACCTTACCAGGGGGCAAGCCAGTTCCTACCCCCCCCCCCCCCCCCCCCCTCCTCCCTGCGCTCCCTGGTCGGGGGCTTGGCCCTCCTCTTCCCTTTTATTTGGGGCCCTCCTTCTGAGGGCATGTTCCTTTGGTGTGGGCTCCCTCCCGGCTCACCTTGCCATTGCTCCTCTTTCTCTGCGCCGGAGGGTGGATTGTTGTTGATGCGACAATACAGATGCCACTCTCTCCCCCTCTTTTTTTTCTCTCTCCCCCTCTTTTTTTTCTCTCTCTCTCTCTCTCCCCTCCCTCTCTCTCTCCCCTCCCTTCTCCCCTCCCTCTCTTTCTCCCCCTCCCCTGGAGAGCCCGTCGCTGGCCTCCCCTTTGCCGGTGACCTGTGGACTGCTGCTCCTGTCCTTTGATCATGGAAAAAGGAAGTATATTCTCAAGGACGGGCAGGAGGTCAGCAGAGCCTCCTCAACTGCCTGATGTGTGTGTGTGTGTCTGCATGCATGCATACTTTGGGGGGCGAATTGATCTGTGGGTGGGGGGAGGTGCCGGGACTTGCTCTTCCTTCTTTATCTCTCTCTCTCTCTCTGACCTTCTCGTTCTTCGTTCTTGCCTGGGGCGCTCTCCCTGTGTGTCTCCCAGCAGCAGGGCACACGCCTGGCAGGCTTGCGCCCGCCTGGCTGGCGGCACTGCTAGAGTGTGGGCCCCGGGCCGGAGGCCGCCTCTCTGCGGGAATCACACCAGGCAAGAGCGACGCAGGGGCGGCTGCCCTCATGAGCAAAGGCCCGCTGACCGAGGCGCTCGCCCCAGTTGGGCCCGGCCTCCAGAAAGAGCGCACTGACCAGACGGCTGTCCGGCTCGCGCTGGGAGTCACTGGGCCGCCGGCCTGGTGGCGTGGATGACGAGACGGCCGCCTCAGCCATGCGCGTACCTGTGTTCGTTTGCCTTTCGGTGCCCGGCTCGGGATCCTGGCCGGGTTCACTTGGCCAGGGGGTGCTCGGAGCAATCCGGGCGCCCTGCTGGCTGCCATCCGGGGTGTACACCGGCCGCGGGGGCGGCGGCACATGGGGATCTCGCCGATTGGGGTCATGCCGCCACCGGTTGATGTTGGCCGTGATCTGGCGCGAGGGAAAGCCAACGGGATGCATCATGGCCAGGTTAGGAAAGGGTGCAGGGGGTAGTCCAGGGCAACGGAAAGAGCAAGGCCAGGACCTACCGGGACGGCCGCATGGCTCCCCTGGACCGACCGCAGGAAGTAGGTGGTCATCGGGCCCTTGCCTTTGATGACAATGATGCCGCGCCGTTCGAAGGTGAAGAGGGGCGATGCCTGTTCAACCACTTGGCGGGTGACGTGGATCCGGCCAAAACGGCAGGTGGACTCCATGCGCGAGGCCACATTCACCGTGTCACCCCAAACGTCGTAGGCGAACTTGTCCGTGCCGATGACGCCGGCCACCACGGGACCCACTGCCTCGCCGGGCCGAGCAAGCAGGACATTGGGTGAGAATCGGGCTCGCCGGCCAGCTCGCAAAGACCCCCCCCCCCCCCTCCCCCGCCCCCCCTGGCAGGCCAGCAAGGTGCCGCACCGTTGAGGCCAATGCGAACCTGGAGATCCAGGCCAAAGTGCGCGCCAAAGGCGATCGTGAGGTTGTGCAGGTGGATCGACAGAAGAAGCATCCGAGAGAGCGGGTCGCGCAAGCTGTGCCGAGAGGCCCGGCTGGCACTTTTGTCCGCCGCCGCACGCCCCCGCGTTGTCACCGGCGCCACCGTGGAGGCCATTCGATTGGGAAAGTGAGGCGAGCTTCAGTCAGGGTGGTGCAAAGTCTGACATCGGTTTTGGCTTTCTCCCATGGGGCCTGGGCGTCTTTGTCCACCCAGTAGGCGGGCAATTTTCCTTCTTGGCAACAGCCCGCAGGCCCTTTTCTCCTCTCTTCACGCCTGGTCCGTCGCTTCTCTCTCCCTCTCCCTCTTTCTATCTTTCTCTCTCTCTCGCTCTCTCTCTCTCTTTCGCTCTCGCTCTCACGAACCCGTCCTCCCTCTTGGCCCTCCCTTGCTTGCTCATCGAGTCGCCTAGCCCTTCTGCCCTGACGCCAACCGCAGCAGCATGGGGGGGAGGGGGGGAGGGCGGGTGCGCTTCTTTTCTCCGCACCTGTCCGAGCTCTCTGGCGCCGAGGTCGGCGGGGGGAAGGCCAGCGGCGCGCTGGCACCAGGGCCAGCGCGGAAGGACTCGGGCATGGCCCTCAAGCGCGGTTGCTGCTCCAGCGGGCCGCCCCCACCCGGGCCGGCTGGTTCACCCTCATCGCCGAAGAGACTGCTCCCACTACCCTCGGCCCATGGGTGGTCGGTCGTCAAGGAGGCCCCCACAAGGGGGACCTGATCGGCGGCCAGCAAATCGACCGGAGGCCGCCCTGCCATGGTGGCCGAAGCATACAGGCGATCTTGCAGGCGCTGCAGGAGGAGATCCTCCTCGGACGAGTCGACCCGGGGATCGTCCAGCATGTCGGCGCTGGTCAGGATGACCCACTCATCGGCCTTGGCGGGGGCCTTGGGCTCGGGGGTGAGGTCGCCGATGGCCAGCCCCCCCCCCAGGCCGCCGGCCTCCAGGTCGATGGACCCCTCGGCGGCATGTGTGTGGCCTGGCCCCGGGGCTGGTGACGGCGCCTTGGCCGGCCGGGCCCGGTGGGCGGCCAATGGGAAGGCCGGCGGCGAGCCGAAAGTGGCACAAGAGAAGGAGCAAAATTGCTGGGCCACCATCTTCTGGACATCCCGGCCAACCGTCCCGAGTGACGACCCGCTGGAGTAGATGTGCATCGGCAGCGGGGGGAAGGACCGGGGGAGGTGGAATTCCTCCGGCCCACCGGTGATGGCCAGCCAGATGGCCCCCCCGGACTTGATCTTCAGCACGCCATACCGAAGCATCACCTCGTCGAAGAGGGTGGCCAGCTCGCTGACCATGTCCAGCCACGTGCTGATGGGAACGTCGATCTCCGAGAAGTCTGCTCGGGTGGTCAGTCGATGGTCTTCGGTGGCGGCAGGAGGGTGGCCGCCGGGCAGCGCGGGGAGGCGCGGGGAGGCGGGGGGGGGGGGGGGGGGGACATGCGAGGGTATGCGAATCTGTGTCCACGTACTGGGGATGTTGAAAAACATGACCGTTACGCTGTCAAAGGAATCGGCGATGCTCTGGAGGGAGGGATTCTCGCGCAAGCTATTTCCCGCCCCCGTCGGCCGGGAGACGCAGTGTCAGCAGGAGCATCGCCCAGAATCGGGGGTGAGGAGTGCCGGGACGCCAGCAGGGGAGGCGAGGCGGCCGCGGCGGCGGAGGCCGGCGATGGGTTGCGCACCGTGTAAGGACCACATCCGGCAGGAGGGCCCGAAGGAGGGTTTCAGACTGGTCGCGGACGGCCTCCACCTCTTCGATCTTCCGGCGGACGCTTTTCCGGATCCACCACTGCTTTCTGTGTGTTCACACCAAAGGGGGCGGAGGTGAGGAAAAGAATGCAACAACAACATCGGCCCCGCGAAGCACAGAGATCCCCCCCCCCCCCCTGAGCAGCAGGTCGAGCAAGCCGGGCGCATTGGCGTGTGTCGGGCGCCACGGGGCCACGCGAAGGGCCGAGCCGCGTCGAATGACGTACCGAATCCGGCGGTCCCGCTCCAAGTTCAAGACCCACACGAGGAAGAGTGCCAAAGTCGACAAGAGGCACTGGTGCAGGATGGCCGGGGCCGGGTGCTTCAACTTGAAAACCGCAATATAATAGACGATGATCAGGATGAAGCGAATGAACACGACTATGGTGGCGGCAATCTGGGCGCCCACATCGAGGGCCCAGGTAGAAGCGGGGAGGAAGCGTCAGTTCGGGTTCTCGGTGACGCGGCAGCAACAGGCGGGGTGGCCGTTTGTCGGCCGGCCGGTCGCCGGGCAAGTGACCGAAAGTAGGCACACGCCGGTGCCCCCCCCCC